AGTTTTTATTAAAAAAATTAAACTTTTTAATAAAAACACAGGCAAATTTGCCTGTGTTACAATTTAAGGGATATGTCGTAAAGGTTGTAATTAATTACTGCAAGCAACCTTATTCATGATATTATATCCAATCTTGATTATATTCATGATGAAAGATATTTATATCAAGATTTATATCTGGGAAATATCTTGTTAAAAGATGATTCCAAAGCATATATTACCGATTTAGATTTATCAAAACTACTTGATAAGAAAAAACACAAAGAACATATTTATAATATCTTGTCTTACATTGCTTCTAAACTTTTTCAAAGAGAAGTGTATACTCAAGAAATAGATATTTATTTATTTGGAATCATCATGGTAGAAATGACAACTGGGCTGAAACTTTTTAGTAGTTATGAATTTGATTAAGACCTTGCAATTAATCGACTTTGACTAAAATGCAAGTAAATTTATAACAAGATATTTACTACAATTAATGATAAGATATAATAATCTTAATACAAACCAATTCAACTTTATTATTAATAACTGTGTATTATATTAGAAATTCTGTAGTCTTTATAGGATGATACCAGAATAATTTATAGAAAAAAATTAAATACGTAGCAAAAATAAAATAATTGGAGCAATTGGAAATTAAAAAAAATTCAGAAAAATTAAAAAAATAGGATGACAGGTAATGCAAAATGAAAATTTAACTTTGCGCAGCCTTAGTCAACTTAAAAATTTAAGCTCCAATACTTCTTTACACCATCATTAGCATAAAGAGTAGTTTCATCTTGGGTGACAGGAACTATTTTAGAATAAAGTTCCGATAAGATATAGTTTAATCCTACACCTTCGTATGAGACTATTTGTTTTTGTAATTTAGCCATCTTTTGCAGAAAATGATTTCTGAATTCTACCACATTTTTATGTTTGTGACTGTCAAAATAAATTTTTTTTGAATAGGTTTGGTATTTTCATTTTAGCTATCTGTATATAGTCGATTTACTAATGGTTGTTTTATATATGATTCCAAGAGTAGGCATAATACTACTGACATGGCTTATAAAATTTGGAATAGCTAATTTAAATTTATTTTTCTTCAAATACTGATTTATTTTAAGCTAAAAACTTTTATTATATATTAAAGATTTTGTTTTTATATATTGGCCATGTTTTGACTTTATTAATTTTTTGCAATTCTTCTATTGATTTGCCCAAACACGAATACACTGTGCATATCATAGATCTTTATTTAAACTCTTGGCCAGAAAGCTACTTGTCTCCATCTTTGAATACCCTTTCTAAACAAGATAGAAAAATTGTCACAGGTTGAAATCAAAAATATCTTCCCTGTATCTTCAAATAATCAGCCTAGGTGATAGCAGGACGATATAGTGATGGCTATAAACTGATATGATAGTGTATAAAAAAAGCCGATATGCAGAAGATTAGGGTAAATTATGATACATATATGGAAATTAACATTCGCATATCATTAAGATGATTTGTTTATTATGTAGAAGATATAAGGCTAATATGAACAAGATTTTTTAATGATAATTTGATGATTAGATAAATCATTAGCCGATATAGTGAAGGCTAATTTGTGA